CTGGCACAGCCCTGAGTTAGTGTTCGGTGTGTTTGTTGAATTAGCACGTGAATGCATAGGGGTAATGGGGTGACTTTAGGGCTGGCTTTGTAGTTATGTGAAAATCATGTGCTCCTGAGAAAAAAAGGCCTTGCCCGTTTTTTCCTTTAGTACTCTCCGTTGGAGATATTACATGATTTTATCATAAAAAGTAGGCCATATACCCCCCATACACACATATTTCATGTTACGGTAAATATCAGATACATTGTGACACTACCCGTAATAATTTGACATGAACTTGGCTGTTTTGGAGGAAATCGTGCCTCCCTTCCCAAATACAACAGTTTCATAAAATGACTCTGACACAAAATGCTTCTCAGGTCCTGGACCGTAGACAGTGCGAGTACTCAGACGCTCAAGTATTTTACCATAAGGCTGTTTGGTTTGTTAGACCTACTGTTTTGTGCTGAATCTAAGCAGGCTTAGTTGTCAAACGTATCACTAGGATCCAAATGTGAGATAGGTTTTCCTTTAAGGCTAGAGTCAGAACACAAAACTCTAGAAACATTATTATAGGTATGTATTTGTGGATTTGTGAGACCTTCTTAGTACTGTCTTAGTCAGATTTATTTAAGAGACTGGCAGTGATTCATGGTGAACTGTAGAAATCTTCTTTGTGTCTTGATTTTGGTCCGTTCCTCTTTGCAGATGCTAGTATTTGGGGCGCAGAGTCTGAAAGTATTGGTGCGGCTGTGAGGACCTCCTCCTCTCCAGCCTCTTCTTGTGCCGCTCCGCCACTTGCCACATTGGTCTTTTTAAAATCCCTCAGAATAAGAATGTTCCCTTCTTTTCTATCTCACAGCCATAATAATTGATGTTTCTTCTTTCTAAAATGTTCTTTATCAACTTTTCCACCTGGGTAATTCTTACTTAAAATACTACTTCCTTAGAGAACCCGTTCGGATCCTCCAGACTATGTTAAACACCGTTATTAGATGGTCTCTTCACATTCTGTATTTTTCTCAGCATTTACCTTAACCATAATTTATAGTTACTGTTTAAGCATTTATTTAATATGTTTCTCTTTCTAGCTCTATTAAAGCAGGGATTATTTCTGAGTTGCTTGTTTTTTTTAGCAAAGTGTTTAGTTAATAGTAAGCATTTAATAAAGGTTTGTCATCAAACAAATTCATCGATGCTGGAAATGTGCTCGAAATGTGCAAAGGCTGGTTCATCATACACCATCTGTACTTTTAATAATAACATTGGAGTGCGAGCTAGTGCTCAGTAGTTGTGTGATCTTGGGCCTGCTACCTTAGCTCGTCAGTAGGACGAGGAGGTCGGACTAGACTAAACCATCTGCTAAGGCCCTTTGGATTCTAGGTGCTAAGTATGTTAGTGTTCCACTGACCAAATTTTAATGCTGACTACTTTATTAAAACTGAACTCATAAAGTAGGTGGAATAGTTTTAGCCATAAAGTAGTGAAAGCATTTCTGAAAGTACTCCTATAAAATGTGAGTGATTTTATACTTTTGAAAAATATTTAGCTACACTCATTTTGACATGTATGCACTGCATTTATTTGATATATCTTGGATAAAGAAACAATTCAATATCCCAAACAATCACTGAACATTTTTTTAAAAATTAAAATGCAACAATCTGTATTTACCAAAAACAGTCTTCACCAAAGTTTAAATGTTTCTAGGAATTTGGCTAAGCCTGTTAGGACCTTTAGTTCATTGTTGATTTTTTTAAGCCTTAACTGTGTTTTGAAATGAACATTTATTATCATCATCATCATGACTATGAACTATGATCTGAGAATCCTACATGTTGTAAACTCTTATATGATAGTTAGAGTTTAACTTTTAAAAAATTATTTTATTTATTTATTTTTATAGAGAGGAAAAGGGAGGGAGAGAAGCATCCATATGCCAGACAAACATTGATCAGTTGCCTCTCACATGCCCCCAGTTGGAGACCTGGCCTGTAACCCAGGCATGTGCCCTGATTGGGATGCAAACTGGCAACCTTTCGCTTTGTAGGACAACACCCAGCCCACTGAGCTGCACAAGTCAGGGTTCACCTTTTTCTTTTCTTTTCTTTTTCTTTTTTTTTGGTCTGTAGAGGAATTTTCTAACTAAAACTATTTATTCGAGTAACTAACATTTTATCTTCTTTCAAAAAAGGATTCAGCAGCATTTAGAGAAACTTCAAATTTATAAGTAACTGGACTGAAGAGAAAAATTGGTACTACTTTGTAGTGGCAGCTTAAGCAGCATCATTTGTATTAGACAAGTTGGACCCATCAGGGAAGCTGGCAGTTACTGACAGCTGTCTAGTCAACAACATCTTAACAGATGACTTCAAATGCTCATGTTTTGTGACACAATATAATTTAATTTGTACTGAATTAATTTTTTTTAAAAACTCAACATCATTAAATTATTCATAACACAAATAGTAAGTAGAATCATATACCACTTCTGTTGCCTCATTTATACAGAGAGAATAATTCTTTTTCCTAACATCCAGTGATTTTTACATACTGTATGTTAATTCATAAAATATTGGTTATCTTTTATTTGTAAGGTATATCCTTGAAGTAGACATTATTCCCGATGTTGGCATTCAGAGCTAATGAGGTTGATCAGGGCTTCAGTAAGTTTACAGCATATCAGAGAGGATAAGACATGTGCATTACTAAACACAAGGTTAACTGTGATAAGCATCACAAGGAAGGTGCCAGCCAGGTGCTGAGAGTCTGTACCTTACATCTCCAGAGCCATATGCTTGTTCTAAGACTTTGAATCCTTGTTAGTGACTAACATAGACCCTTGTATATAAAGCATATTCAATTGATGTTAGGTTAGAAGGTGAGTTGTGAAGCTGTTTTCTAAACCTATATCTGTTTAACAGATGCCATTCTTTTTATCCAAGTCAAACCTAAAGTCTTAAGTCTTTAAGTATCATGAAAAGCATGATACTTATATCTAAAATAATATAGTTTTTTCGACAGAATGTGAAAATTTTACTTTCATGCTTCTGTCTTTACATTTTCTGGTTTTTACTTCAAGTCTCTTTCTATTAAATCTTACTTGGTAGCCCACTGTTCTGTCTACCCAGATGTGTAAGTTATATGGAATATGACCATACTTCTTTGTGCTTCTAAAGTATAAGTAATCACAATTCTCAGGAAACTCCTAGGCATCACAACTCTGAGGACTCTCAGAATTCATGTGGTCTTGCTTCTTTTAGGTACAACGCATTAGAAAGAAGTATAAACTAAGTGATTATCAAAGCTTCAGAGGCCACAATAAATACTACTCTATTTTTAAAAAGCAATCGATCTGAAGGATTTCTGAATTTAGTTAGCCTTTTAAAAAATGGATTTGTTTCCAAAAACCTGTGTGTGGTTTTTTTCTTTTTCTTTTACTAGCTTATGTTTCCTGAAGGATTTGAGATTGAATAAAATTGCCTTTCTTCTGATCTTGTGAATTATGGAGATAAAATGAAGGCATAAATGATGTCTGAGTTCTCTTGCCTCCCTAAGATCTCATGACTCTTTCATAGTCCACAGTGGGGCATGCTGGTCATGACACCAGATCACAGCCAGTGCTTTTCCATTCTCCACCATCTCTACTCTTCATAGAACTTTTCTTCACTGGCTGACCTGAAGCAGAAGATTTGCAGGAGCTTCACTTGCCCCTCTTCTGAAGACTCCTGGCTGAATTTCACAGGAAAAGGGTACAATGTGGTAAAAAGGAAATAAGAAAGGCAGCCCCTTTACCCTCCTAACTTTTAGCAGCCTGACTGACTCTTTCTTGTGAACTTTTCTTGCCACTGAGTCATTGCACACACAGAATTATGGAACTTGAATTTCTTTAGAGGCTTGTTATATTAGAAAAATTGTTCCAAAGAAAGCAACAATCATGACATAAGCACATCTGGCTCTTGCAAATTATTCTTTATTAAGCTTTCATTTAATTACATGTGCTGAAAGGTCTGTTTTTGATTACTGTAATTTTTTTTATTTGTCCATCTGAATGATAGTAATGCTGGAAATTACATGCAAACCACCTGTTTTTTGCTCCCCTACTAATGTGGTAAAGTTTGAGCTATTTTCTCTGTGGCTGATGAAACTAGGAAGCCTTCTATTCATTATGATAGAAATATGACTATCGAGGCAATGGTTTAGTCTTGATGATAAGAAGGAAAGAAAATATTTGAATGAAGTTTTCATGAATTAAGTGGTGTTAAAATCGAGGTCTTTGAGTTCTCTTTTTGGTCAACCAGCAGATCTGTCCATTCACATATCACCAGTTTCATCCAAAAAATGAATAAATGGACACTTCAGTATTTAATCACCTGTGCTACAAGAAAGAAGCTTAATTTTTATTCTATTTTATTTTTCACAAATCTGGCTGTGTCCTCTCGAGGATTATGCACTGCCTAGAACTAAGGCCCTAAGAACAAAGTGACTCCCATTGGGCTCAGGGGTCTTGAGGGCAGCGCTGGCACCAAGCAGAAGGGTCAGCAGCCCTGCAGAATCTTGGTCAGCACTGAACAGGAATGACGTGCCTGTAGGAATCCCTAGGAAAGTCTAGATTCGTTTCTTAGTTCATGAATATTAAAATTACACAAATAGGCATACCAGCTTTTAAAGAGCTTTTTATAAATATTTTAGGCACTGAAAAGAATCTTTGAGACCATTTAGTCAAATTCCTTTTTTGTACAATTGAAGAAACTAAGTTCTAAAACAATTGAGTTCTTTGTTTAGGGCCATACAGTTTTGCTAGGAGGACCAGGGACAGAGAACGGTGATTCCCTTTCCAGTACTCATTTTTTTCTGACATTATTTGGTCTCTCTTATTTCTCTCTGTAAAAAAAAAGTGGTGAAAGAGAAATTGCAAGGCTGTCAGAGAAATAGCTCTCTAACAATACGGTAAGTTTTTTTGAAATGCCATTTTAGCTGCATTTAAAGAGATAATGTTTGTCTTCCCTGTTTTGCAGCAGCTCTATGCCGCTCAGCTGGCCAGCATGCAGGTGTCACCTGGAGCAAAGATGCCATCAACTCCACAGCCACCAAACACAGCAGGGGCAGTCTCACCTACCGGGATAAAAAATGAAAAGAGAGGGACCAGCCCTGTAACTCAAGTTAAGGTACTTGCTTTGCAGGGTTGTGGAAACAGTTTGGAAAATAGCTTCACAAGAAAGGTAGTGAACCAGGCTGTGTCGGGAGTAAACGGCAGGAAGCATAGCAACATAAAAGATCCCCCAAATGCTCCTCTTTATGGTAAATTTCATGATTGAGCACTGAGAAACAGGTGTTTCCCGTTTGATAACAATAGTGCCGTATTGTGAGATCTTTACCTAAATCTGCAAACTCACTTCTCAAGAGTTTTTCCCCTTTGGAGTCTAGCTTTTATTTTTTAATGTTCATTGGCATGATTGGCCACGGTTTTATTACCAGTGTTTGTCACAGACTTGTGACATTTCTCTCTAAGCATCTTAAACAGGTGGGGAGCCAACTTACAGTATCAGAGAAGGAAGATCTCAAAAGATTAGATTTTAAAAAGGGAACAAAAAGAAGCCTAATGCTGGACATTACGTACTTTGTTGACAGAGGTCTCCCCTTCAAAGACAGTTCCAAATGTGGGCTCTGAGGAATGAGTGGCATCATGCATAGGTGCCATATAGGTTGTGATCAGATAAACAGGCTCCCCCAAGTCATGGCTAGGGCACGAGGGGTACCTTTCCTCACTGATTTTCAGTGCCTTTGAATGGGGCAGCCAGGAGGTACTTGGCGATGAAGGGAAATTGACGATCCATTTCAACTTCGTGCTGCAGCTGGCACCTACGGGTGGTACTAGTTGGTTTTTATGCTCGCCTTCCTTTCCTATATTGAATTAACAAATTCCAATGGTTTAGAAAAACAATGGTTTTATATAATTGACTTATCTTCTTAGAGGGGTATGTGAAGCACAGATGTATTACTATAAAGTGCCCAAAGTACTGCATTGGGAAAAAAATTGCAATTCTTAAAGTATCTTAGATATCTCTAAAATAGCTTTAGATTAAAGCCCAACAAAAACCATTGAGTGCTACAAAATCACTGAAATAATTTTATTTTCTGGTATTTTCAGATAGAAATTTTGAGATTTCAGAAAGGCCTTTAAAAAACGATGGCTCCCAAATACCAAAGATAAAAAAAAAGTAAACATCAATAAGAAAGACAGTTCCACCTGTGCCCCAAAGGCTTTCAGATTGTCCAAATAAGTGGAAGGACATCTATGCTCTGTGGTTAGAAATACTGAGATACGACCGCGTACTGTCCACATTTACTAAGATAGCACGGCTGTGGTAACAGCCTTTTTTGTTCCCAGAGTTTCTATTAGTGCATAAGAGTTTGGACACTACAACTCGGACCAAAGCACTTTGTTCAGTTGTAGTTGAGTCTGAGCATATCAAACATCAGTGACTTGAGACACTGAGTATTAGGTATTTTAACATGAAAAAGTCATTTTGTAGGGAGTTGGCCAAGTGGAACCGCACCAAACCAAGTCTTTACTGGATGAGTAAAATGTTCCCTGGTTAAATTTAAGTTTATATCTGCTTTTACCATTCCAGCTTTGTGGGCCAGCTGAATTTTATTACTCACTTGACCACATGCAAATTCTTAGGGAGTTCTCTATATAATTTGACCCGACTATATTTTATGTTAATAACAAAGGAAGCATTCCTTATATGTACTAGATTGTTTATTGTATGGGTAAAAATATATAGACAAAGACAGAAAACAAATGTTTTAAATTTTAAAAATAGCTCCTATCTATTATTGAAGAATTTCTGAGAACAGTCTTGTAATTTTCTAATTGAAGGAAATATGGTCACTAAAATACCTCATGTTTCTGTCTGTAGTCATTGCTTTCCCTGTGTATATAGCTTGTCCACATCACAAAGGGCATAGTTTGCTGAAGGTAACAAAAATAAACACAAATGGTTTTATGTACCTTCTTTCATCCAGCATTTTTATTTGCTATAATTGTCAACATCGGAAGTCAGAATGTTTCTGTTCAAATATCAGTTCTACCATATTTATCCTCCATGTCATGTTGGGAAACTTAACTTTTTTCATTTTGGGAAAACTTAATTTTCTCCTCTCTAAAATGAAAGTCAATATTATTATGGGTCTTCAATGAGATAATGCATCCTGTAGCATACAGTGAGTATTCCAAATGTTAGTATAGTGATTATGATGATGATAATCTGACAGTAATTAAGGAGATGGTGGTGGTGGTCATGGTAGTAGGGCTTGGGATTGAAGTACCACATTGGATACCAGGAGAGATCTGCACAATCTTCCCACAGGGTTACCATTTTCAACCATGATAGAGGAACAGGGACCAGATGTCTCTGCCAGCTTAAACAACTAAAACTCAGGACAAAATGTATAAAACAATGGCTTTCAGACATTTACAATAGGACTAGAGGACAGTACTCCCTGACTAAAGAGAAACAAGTGAGGTAGGCACTATAGTTGTTTCAGCTCACTATCTAGAGGGACTTTCTAAGCAGTAGCTCAGGGAGGGGTCCATGTGGAGTTCGGCAGCCTCCCTGAGGGAAGATAGAGCTCAGAGTTTAGGGGTGCTAAGGTAGATGGGATATGTGGGGTAGAGTGCCAGAGAGGACAGAGCTGCACCCAGAGAAAGTACTTTGAAGATCTACAGAAGTTTCCCCAAATTTAGCTGAGTACCGATTAGCATATGCATGTGAGGAAACTATCTAATATCAGGGAGAAATATAGGAATACCAAACAAAGCAGTGAAAGACTCACAAAGGACTGAGAATAGTTTATATTCCCATTAGCCAGAGTAGAAAGAGCTCCTGATATATGGCTCAGCAAGTAGAATCCGCAGAGGGGTGTTACCTCAGCAGTGGGGCCAAATTACCCCTAGATGAAGAGTGGCTCTGGACCTGCTTAACCAAGCTCAAAAGTCTGTCTAGAAAGGGTCAAATTGTTCTGTGTCTCAGAACAAAGTTTACAGATATTTAAAGGAATACACAAACTCCAATGTCCAACAATGTAAAGTGCACAATATGTAGCATTCCTTCAGTCATTATCAGCCTTTTAGATAAGCTAGAAAATTTGAACAATAATGAGGAGAAAACTCAATCTAGAGAAACAGACCCCAAAATGACACATATGTTAGAATTAGTAGATAAGCCAGTAAAAACAGCTATTATAAAAGACTTACAACTATAGCCAAGTGAGGATATAGGCAAATCTGCTCCCTAAAAAACACCCACAGAATTTCTGTCCAGCCAGGGCCGCTGTGAGGACCGGCAGCAGGTCCGCCTCAGTACAGAGGGATTTACATGATCTGGAATCACTAGGTGCTTCCAACCCCAGTGGCATCGTTTGCGGGAGTGGAAATTATTAAATTATAAAAATAAGTAAGTGGAACTATATTCAAAGCTGAATAAAACCAGATGTCATAAACTCCATATGTTTAAGAAGGTAGAGAAAAACGTAAGAATTACAAGTGAAGACACGGAAGACCTGAACTGAATGTCTGGAGGTGAAGAATGAGGTGTTTGAAGTGGAATGTACACTGGATTAGGACTCGGTTGAGGTTAACAACAAATTAGGCATTACAGAAGACTAGGGATTGTGATTGCATAACAGTGAAACTGTCCGAAATGATCTGCACAGAAAAAAGGCAGTGCTGTGGGGCATCAGTGACCTAATACACGCAACTGAGACCCGGGGGGATAATGAAGCAACAGAAAACTATTTGAAGACATAATAGCTGACAATTTTCCAAATTTGAAGAAAACCCCAAATTCATATCTGAGAAGCTCAGTGAGCCCCAAAATAAAGAAACATGGAGAAGACTGACTAGATACCTAGCATATTAATCACTATAATTTAGATTTAAATAAAGGAACTAACTAGTCTAAATATCCTTTGAGTTCAGAGCAAAAGGAAGTAAATTGTAATTAAGCATATTGGATAATTTTGACATTCATAATACATGTAACTATATTACTAAGAACCTGTCCTATGTCTAGATGTAAATAAAAGAACATCGCAACATAGATGTGCCCCGTTACCCATTTCCTACCATGATAAAACAAAGCAAAACAAAAACAGAGAACCGTAGGGCATCACTGCATTATCAAATGCCTTGTAGTAAAGGGCCCTGAGCTTTGGAGTCAAATAAATTAGAATTCGAATTTCACACCTCCATGTATAGCTTTGGGCAATGGTTTTCTCACTCTGACCCATCTTCCTTAGTAAGTTTAGGATAATACTGCCCACCTTCATAGATTTATTGATAGTGAAATGAACTAATATGTATGAAGGCGTCTAGCACCGTGCTTGGTGCATAATGGCTCCTCTGTTGAATGTTATATTTATTTATTTTTCTAGTTCTCCTTCCTGAGTAGTATTTTGTGGCATCCATTTTTGTTTCCTTTTAAACAGTGACCACTAACACTGGAAGAGACCCTAGAGATCAGCTAGAATTAGACCCCTTTTTTCCCTACAGATGAAGAATGGAGCCGCAGGGAGGTCACAGGTTTGCCAAAGGGAAGAACGCTCTATTTCCAAGCTCCACTGTGTTTTAAACAGCAACATTCAAAGCAAGTTCTCTGTGCCTCCTCAGAAGCAAAACAGGAATTAACATTTGCTGACAATTTTATTTTAGAACACAATAATGCAGGCCTTAAAACTGAACATTTAAATGAATATGCTCATATTGCAAATAAATTTCTAGCATGATGGAAGGGTTGTTACGGGTGTTTGATGGCAGGATAAATGAGACCAAATAGAGGCAAGGAGCTTAGCTTTCAAGCTTCTGGTTAAACTAGAGTTACAAGCAAGATATTTGAACACTGTGCTCAGTGAAGGACGGGCATCTTAAAATAGACACTCTGTAAATATATGGAGCGAAGATATAAAGAGACATCGCTTTAGACATGAGAAATAAATTGCATATAGCATGGTATGTAAAACATAATTATAATGTGTGCTAGCTCTTTGCAAAAATTAATTTTAAACATGAGTAGAGACCAGAACATAGACCATGAAGAGTGCCCACACCCAGAAAGCCACACAGAAGCTGGGCTGTGGTGTGCGGCTCCCTGGGCAGAGGGCCAGGGGGTCAGAAGAAGGCCTTCTGTGTTTCCATTTTTAAAGTCCTTGCAATTGTTTGATTTAAAATATATATTAAAAATTAGCTGCAGAGCCTATTTATAGTTCCAAGAACTTTTTAGAGAGAATAACACAAAAGCACTACAGAGCTGCTGAAATTTTAAATAATTCTTTGTAAATGCCCTAGGTTAATTTAGATCCCTGAAAACACATTAGGAAATTAAGCTGTAATGTGAGCTAATTCAGATTTTAATTTGGCAAAAAAGAATGATCCAACTACACAGTTAATGTAAATAGAAGCATAACACAGGGAAATTAATGAGGTTTCCTTCCGATGAATCTTCAAGGAGGTAGATAATTAGCTTCTTTTGTTATGATTGTAGGAGAATGTGGCATTGTCTCTGAGGTGTAAAATAACTGTGGCTTACTAAGTGATAATGTGCTTCATTTGTCTTTTTTTTTAAATAATTATTTATGTTAAACTCTTGCAGGATGAAGCAGCAGCACAGCCGCTGAACCTTTCATCCCGACCCAAGACAGCCGAGCCTGTAAAGTCCCCAACGTCTCCCACCCAGAGCCTCTTCCCAGCCAGCAAAACCAGCCCCGTCAGCCTGCCCAACAAGAGCAGCATCCCCAGCCCCATCGGAGGAAGCTTGGGAAGGGGATCCTCTCTAGGTAAATGGAAAGGTCAACACCAGGAAGAGACTTATGAATTAGGTAAAAGAAAGCAAACCTGTCGAGCGATGACTGATCCTTATTTCCAAAATGTTCCCTAGTCCAAGGGGAGAAAATTTAAATCTGTTCTACTGAAGCGTAACCCAATTTGGTGTCTTTGGGGTGACTGCAACTTTTGGAAAAGGCCATAGTATAAATTTTGCTGGGATGAGTTCTTTAGATGATGATGGGTAAGATCCGGCACATTTTTTTTTGTTTGGTTGGTGCTTTGCTGCTGAAGTAACTCTGGGCAGAAAGAGTGACCGTGAGCCCTCCGAAGGCCTCAGGCTGCCTGCAGGAAGTTCAACATTCCTTTGAAGTTTTAAGATGTATGTGAATTTTACTTCTAATCTACTAGTTTTCGTTACAACAAATATGAGTGACACATTTCAGTGACATAGCATGAAGTAAAATTAGAATCTAATAAGATATGCCATGAGGATCCTCTGGCTTCTTAGACTCGCTGACATATTGCCGGGTACCTCTAGGAATATTCGCATGGCCAGGGTGAGAAGTGTAGTGGAAAAAACATGGATTTTGGCATCAGACAGACTTGGACTAAGAGCCTTTACTTACTAGCTGTATAATCCTGGGAAAGTTATTTAACCTTTCAAAATTCACTTTCCTAATCTTCTAAAGGGGAGTATTATTTCCTAGCTCCTAGGTTGTTATGAGAATTAAAAGAGAACAATGCACATAAAGTACCTAACGTGGCGTCTGGCACCCGAAAGGCCTGAGGTTTGGAAAGGCTGTGCTGAATGAACATAACACATTTCCCTACGCACATGCGCTGGAGCAGCCGGTGTGAGAGCACTCGCCAGCAGCCTCACCACTTTGTTGTTATGGTGCTTTTTAAGTCTCTTAACTTTTAAATGAAGACAGAGAAGCTCAAAGGGATTAGGGACTAGAACTGGCATTTCTTCGCCATGTTACCATCCTTGTTATTGAGTCTTGTAGCCTGAAACACTTATAATAGTTAAATAATGGGTTAAGGTAGCCGTTTTCAGTTTAACTTTTTTGCCTCTTATCTCATTTGATTTTGTCTCAATATTCCTGAGTTAGGTGGTGTAGTATTATTACCCCTATTGGACATAAACCGTGGTTCCTACAGGGAAGATGACTTGCCCACAGCCATGGAGCTATGTAGTCAGCAGAGCCAGACTAGAATCCAGGTCCTTTCACACGTAACTCAGTGCTGTTTCTGTGAACTCACAGTTGGAATATTTGCTGAACTGTGTGGAGTCTAAACGTGCCTTCTGATGAGGAGGGGTCAATCTTCCTCACTGCCATTTGCACATGAGAAACCACACAGTAGCCTATTCTCATTTTGAGTCTGGATGCCTCTTTCGGGGGCTGAGAGACTTCTGGCCCACGTCAGTGGTTTTGCAGTGGAAGAGAGAAGTGAATCAGTTCCAGCGTATGAATGTGATCCCTGGCCTGTTGGACGTGGTGCATGCAGTGAGGAAAACACCAACCTAAGTAAATAATAGACCTGATCTTGAAATGGCCCTCCCACAATCCTCTTCCGAAGTTTGTTGGGAAAGCATTTGTTTGCTCTACTGAGCATTGTGAGTGACAAAGATGCCTATGTAACTAGCCCTGCTCTTAGGAAGTTTGTACTTCGACAGAGATCATGAGCTAGCATTGGGCTGAAGTCATAGCTCTGTGCTCCAGACAGTATACAGTAGATGTTGTTATTTTTTTTGTATCAGGAAAGCTCCGGAGCAAAAGATATGAGTTTCTATATCCTAAAAACTTACTGGCTTTAAAAACTTTTCTGTAGATAGCCTTGGAAACATTTTCTAAACTCAAAGACACATGTACATGCATGTGCACACATGCACAGACGTGTGCCGTGAAATGCTCACACAGGATACAAGCAAGTGGGTCTCGTGAGACTTTACCACAGCAGTCAAAATCTACCAGTCAGCAAGCAATTGTCTTCTTTTTCTCTAAAATTGGAAAAGCTTATCTAAAGTATTGATTTTAACTTACAGCACAATGCAAGATATGAAGCAAGATTAGTCCGTTTAATTTTGAGTTTTTTCCCCACTGTGTTGCATGGAACATAATGAGAGTAAATATTTATTGTCACTTTATTTGAAGCGCTGTACTTATGTGAAACTCATTCCCACTCATAGTCTTGCTACCATGAAGACAAGAAGCTGAGAGCAGTGGGTGTGCGGCTGGGGGCAGGGAATGGGTTGTCATTCTCTTGGTAAATAACTGAGGCAGCATGATGAGTAGAAAGCTTCATTAACCAGCCAGTGAGTGGGGAACAGAGAGTGTGGTGTATTCCTCCCCACCTGCTCTGTCCTGCAGTGGACATACAAACACACAGATACACATGTCACTGAAACACACATGTAGCTTTGCTGGGCCAGAAGCAGCTTTCCTGAATTAGCACACTAAATATAATGAGCAGCCTGAGCAGATATCTCTGTCCTTCCCCCACCCTTTCTTCCCCACCACTGTCCCACTGAGTGTCAGATATAACCAGAACAGATAAATATACACACATCATTGGAATCTAGGAACCTTCATCTGTGACAGAGCCCAGATAAACTGAATGCTAGCGTTTCCTCCAAGGGCTATCAAGACAAAACAAAACACTACCACCAACAATAACAACAACAACAAAAACCCAGCACAGCTTTGTTGCCCTGGGTTTCTGTGCTCTATGCACAGCATTGTGACTTTCTGACTAGCAAACGTGCCCCTTCCTTTTTTGGGGAATGCAGCATTCTACAGGGAAGTAGACAGCAGCAGTGTTTTTTAGAGATTCTCATCTCACAAGCCTCTGATAATGAATGCATCCTGTGTACGCAGATATCCTGTCCAGTCTCAACTCCCCTGCCCTGTTTGGGGATCAGGACACAGTGATGAAAGCCATTCAGGAGGCTCGGAAGATGCGAGAACAGATCCAGCGGGAGCAACAACAGCAGCAGCCACATGGTGTTGATGGGAAACTGTCCTCCGTGAACAATATGGGGCTGAACAACTGCAGGAATGAGAAGGTAAAACTTGCTCACCTCCTTCACTGGCCCTGCTAGACCCACTGGCTCATTCTCACCTGGCTTCTCCCAGGCTCTCAGGCATCAACCTGCAGACAAAGACGCGTGTCTAGCTCGAGGGCCATGCTGTGTCCCATTCAGGAATTACTGCTAGTGAACAAACCCGCCTTTTCCCACTTACGTGGGATACTCCCAGGCACCCAGCCTACGTGCCTGTTGGTGCCTTCCTGGCCCATTCCAAAAGATTTAGAAATATAATAAAGGGGATATGTGAGGTTATTATAATAAGAATAAAGAATATTTTTAAAAGGAGCTAATAAATTACTATGACTCACGATTGAATTTATTATCAAGCTTCCTGTCAGCCAGAGCAAAAAATATAAAACAAAGCAGCTTACAAAATGCATTAGTTGACCTTTTTTTTGGTTCGACAAATATTTATCAAGTTCTTATTCTATAATAGATACTGTTTTATGCACTGGAGATACAACAATAAACAAATCAGATAAAAATCCCTGGTCTCATAGAGCAGACATTCTAATAGGGGAACAGAGATAACAAAAAATGTTGAATACATAATGTAGTGTCAGTGGTTTTGAGAGGTGAATGAATGCCATGAGAAATATTGAAGCAAGGCCGGGGAATAGGGAGTCTGGGTTTGCTCTCTGAGACAGCGTGGGAAGGACTTTCTGAGAAAGCGAGGCTGAGTAGGGATATGACTGGAGTTCTATGCAGGCAGACCCTGTGAAGAGTGGGAGGAAGAACAGCCGCAGTGGGAACAATAGGCGCAGAGGCCCTTGGAGTGTGGGAGCAGCAACCAGAAGCCCCTGCGGCAGGTGCAGCATAAGAGGAGAGAAAGCGTGGGACACAGCATGTCAGACTTTGCTGGCCCTGAAAAGGCTTTGCATTTTACTCTGTGATAGGAACCCTTGGACAGGTTTTGTCCGGAGCATTGACAGAATATGATTTACCTATAAAAAGATTATTCTGTCTGATGTGTGAGAATGGCCTGTAGGAAGTTAAGACTGGAAACAGGGAGACCAGTTTAGAGGCTTTCATAGTGCACTGGGTGAAACATTCTGATGACCTGATGAATGAACAGTCCTTGCCATCCCTTGGCTTGTTTTCCGTCACTCCAGTTTCTGCCTCCTGCATCATTCACATGGCTGTCTTCTCTGTCCCCATGTCTCCAAATCTCCCTCTTCTTAGAAGGACATTAGTCATCGGATTTGGGGTCCACTGTCATCCTGGATGACCTTATTTTAACTTGATTATATCTGCAAAGATACTATTTCCAAATAAGGTCCCATTTTCAGGTATCAAGGGTTGGAATTTGAATATACTCTTTTGAGGACACAAGTCAACCAGTTAGTTGGATACAGAGCCATTGCTCATGTTGAATCAACCTCTCATCCTTATCTGTGCTTTCTAGCCACCCCAGGAGACAGCTGGGGTATTGGGGACTGGACAGGGGTCTGAGGGGATGGGCATATGATGGAACTGTCAAAGCATATCTGCGACCAAAGTCCTCACCCAGATTGTGAAGCTTAGCTCTGGAAGGGTTGACTTCCCATAGCTTAAAAAAAAATTAAACTTTTAAGTTCTCTCTGCATTGAGTTTCTGATGTCAACATTAAATATGTGTGTGTGCATGTGTGTGGCACGTGTGTGTATACTATTTAAAATTAATCATTATTGGATACTCTAACTTGATTGATCCTCTTCACAGAACTTTCAGATCAGATAGGAGAAAGGCTATCCAGGGAAATGGTGAGTCTAGGACACCTATTAAAGCCATAAGCACTTATATACTTGGGATTCGTCAGACACATGCCAGGCCCTGGGATATGTTCAGTCAAGTGCCTTGTTCCCCATTAAGGGCTCCATCCTTGCCAGTGGGCTCACAAGGCAGAGCCCTGCCTGAATAGATGGTCAGGACCACAAGAAAAGACAAGCCTGTCCCCAAACCTCTCCTCCCCCTCTGATGCTAGAGATAAGCACAGAGTCATTCTTTTGATCTCAGATACTGCTTTCTGCTCAGTGAAAACACAATGAAATAATGACATACTTAATGTCAATGTAAATAACTTTGTAAGATACTTTTTAGGGACCTAGGCAAGTAAAGAAGTTTTGGCATAAGGCTGCTGCGTGGGACGTTGGGGTAAAAGCGAGAATGGGCGTGCACACCATAGGCCACTTCCTACTTTCCAGTTCTGTCGAGGGTTAGCCCTCAAATTAATTTGAGAAACACACCAGTGATTTGAGTCTTTTTAGTGATTTATTTTCAAGTGGAAGTAGTATATGCTGACCGGAAATTCAGGTCATACAGAAAGATATACGATAAAAAGCTAGTCACCCTCCTCACCCTGTTAACTACCATTAATGGTTGAGTGATAACAACCATTAGCGATTCAGGGATTTTCTTTGCGTATAAAGAAAGTACTAGTGAATTGAAAAATATTTATCCTCACGTGGAATAACAGTCCCCGGGTGTCACTCACCCACTGTGTGATGTTTGGCAAGTTGGTCAACCTCTCTGAATCTCAGCAGCTTTATAATATGAAAGTGGCAATCTGGGTTGCAATGACATAAGCTTACATGTATGTGAATACACCTAGCACAGCTCCTGATACAGAGTAGGAACTTTCTTATGCATTTTATACCTTTTAAGCTAAATCATGGGTGATTTTAAATATGTGGAGCCAATATACTATTTTTGTCACAGGTGTGAGATCCTCACACAACAATGGGAGGGTCAGCAGAAGGAAACAATAGGGTTTTCAGATGTTGGCGTACTGGCCAACTCGCATACTTAAATTAAACTCCTTTCCAACTAGGTTGATACACAAAGCTACAGAAACTTCAGATTTATTAGAGTAGATCGGGGTTTCTCAACCTTGACACTATCGACATTTTTGGCTTGGGAATTCTTTGTCATGGGGGTGCTAATTCGGCCTCTCTCTATTCTCAGCACTCCCCCCTTTTGTGACAACCAGAAATGTCTTCAGACATTGCCAAATGTCCTCTACTGGAGGAGGGAGGACAAAATTACCCATAGTGGAAAATCCTTGGGCTAAGTAAAATATATTTAGAATGAATACATTTCAGAAACTTCATTCCACAAAAGAATCCAAATTATTTCATTTAAATAGCCATACTTATTGTTATAAAAAATAATTTGCTTCTGATTAATGTCATTAATAAAATAGTTCTTTGAAAAATGCTTGTAGAAATTTTTGTCGAGAATATTTTCATAGAGTTAAAGTGGAGTAGCATAAATGCCATTCAGTTTTGAGGACAGCGGGAAGTAGGTGCAGCATTGCTGCTGCAGCCCGGCCCTGCGGCCCCGCCGCTCCGCTGCACGAAGCAGGAGTGCAGCAGCGGCCTCCCTGCCCACGTGCACGAGCCTAGCGGTGAGCTGGCACTGGGCACAACTTGCTTCCAGCAGGGAATCTCTCTGTCTGGCACCGCGACCCAAGATTGTGAAATCCGTGTCATCGAACTGGAGTTGAAATTCAAAGCTAAAACTTCACATAGGTTGATTTCAGGTATTTCCGACTGACTTTTCTTAATTCATTTTGGAGGAAGAAGTCTGAGATTCTGAAATAATAACACCTTATTTCACATTGGCAGACAAGGAAAGAGAAATGAGAGATTAGGTTAGATGGAAAATAATGATAGTGAATCTAAACTTGACCTAACACATATCACAACCATAACTGAGCCTCTGAAGGGAAGCAGCAAGGTGGTTTCAACAGAACCAGAAAACCCTGGCTTCCCAGTTACATGGAGCCTGCTCAGTAGAAAACTTTCCTGGGGGAATGTGGAGCCCTGGAAGGTCCCTCATGTTCAGGGGTGTGTTCACAAGCTCCTTCACATACGTGATCTTGCTCCCCAACAGTGTCTGTCACTCTTTAGAACATACATTGTGTGGTTTTGTAGGCTTTGTTTAGTTTCTAGAGTTGGTGTTTATTCTTGATTATTAGGTTAGTTGCAGCCAGAAGGACACATTTAGAACAAAAATTAGAGGACTCTTATGATGGTAGCTTTGGCTTTCTTATAATCAAAATATCCATCTTAATTGTATGAGTTTCCATAAGATACTACTTTTTATTTCAAGGATCAAATCGTCTGAGATCAAAGAGGGTAAATATATGATGTGCAATAAGATTGATAACATGGATTGTGACAAATTTGGTTTAACCGTCTTCAAAATTATCTACTTTGGAATTACCTGTTTTCCTAAATATAAAGATCTATCAATTAGATTTATGAATTTGCCCTTATAACCTATAACTCCGTTTTAGAGATTTTTTCACAGTGTTGCTGCTATAAAACCTCTCAATTTTTTAAGCATACCCGGTTACTCTCTTATTTGAACATTCCTTACAAAAGGGTATGTCACAGATCCAGGAAGCAGGGCATGAGGTGGAGATTCACAAGCTGTTTATTGGGAGTTCCCTTTCCGCTTGCCACCCTGGAAGGGAAAGGTCAAGAGCAGGATTAGGCTGCAAGGCAGTGCCAACCAAGACCTCAGCCAGACCCACAGGAAATTTGGAGGCTGCCATGGCCATTCAGAATTGCCCCGGGCTGGGTAGAAGAGGTGAGCTTTTAGACACTTGTGTTAAACAGTTTTTGGGATAAGAGCTACTTTGGGAAGGGGTCATGACCTTGAGTCAGGTGACTCTCTTCAGCTGGGTCAATGCTAAGCAGCTTCTTTGCAGCTGAGGGAATAAATCTTTCAGTCCTAAAGGGGGAATCTGTGTAGTACATCTCAGTGTCCACTATGGAGTGTTTTTGTGACATTTGGTAACGTTACATGTATATAAAACATACTTTGTATGTGCATACATAAATATAGGCAAGCATTTACTACATAGGACCAGGGATGCTTGTGTCTTTACAACACATAAGGAATTGCATATATGTTCATATGTATACATGTTTACCCATGGTACATTTCACTTTATTGGGTAAATCCCTATTTTGATGCTTTGAAAGGAA